TTTTTCCCTCCCCTGACTTACGCACACATCTGCAGAGTCACTCACCCACAGTACAGACTTCATACATGTGTGACACAACAAAGCTGCAGATGTGTTTCTGCCATGTTGCACGTGTGGCTGCAGCTCGTCTGCCCCTGGAACATAGAGTCCTTCAAATGTAAAGTAAGATACCAGACAAAGCAGAACGTAAGCGTCTCTGTCTGTTTTAAAAAAAAAAAAAATTTGTATCCTACAGATTCCTCCTTTAATTATTGTGTCGCTGGTAAACGTCTCGTGTTCCTGTGTGAGCGGCACAAACTGCAGCCAGGACTCACACACTTCCTCCATCTCCTTCTTTCTTCCCCTCAGTTCTCCTCTGCCTCCCGCACTGTCCTCCCTTGCCGCCTCCCCACTTTTCTGTTTTCTTTGTTTACATTTCTCTGTCTCATCTCCTCATTATGTATACATTCTCTCTCTCTCTCTCTCTCTCTCTCTCTCTCTCTCTCTCTCTCTCTCTCTCTCTCTCTCGTCCGTTTAACAGACACACACAGGAAGGAGCTGAATAGTGTTGGCCCCTTGTTGCTTCATTATGTGAACCATCATTTAACATCTACTGCTGCTTCATTTCTGGGTCGACTCCATTTCCTTCGTCAAATGCAAATCTCTGACAAATTCTCACTCGTCTGTGTGTGTGTGTGTCTGTCTGTCTCTGTGTGTGTGTGTGTGTCTGTCTGTGTGTGTGTGTGTGTGCGTGCGTGCGTGCGTGCGCTGTCACATACATGTGAGCTATTCGAATGCAAATATGCAAATAAATGGGCGTAGGTACATTTGACCAGGCACATCTGTGCTTTGTGTGTCTGCCTGAGTGAGTGCGTGCGTTCTGCCCACCTCCCTCTCCTGGGACACTGTGGTCCGATCGTGTGATTTTTTTTTTTTGTGTGTGTGTGTTTATTGCACTTTTAATAATCAGACTATTGATGAGAAAAGTCTGTGTCCCTAAATTCCCCTGGCTGCTGTCGCCAACCAATCATCAACATCCACAGGAGAGACGCAGCCAATCGTGTAGCTAATATCGACCAGACTGTTGAATCAATTTACCAAGTGCGGTTAAAGAAATAATTCTAATCATCCTAGACTTGAGCAGTGACGTGTGTGTGTCTGTGTGCATGTGTGTGTGCATGCGTGTGTGTGTGTGCGCGCTGTTCTTCCTGAGGAGATGTTTGTTAAGAATCTCCCAGGACAGATGAGGCATTGCGGCAGTCTGCCGTCACATGAGCGAAGCCACAATCCAGACAAAGACACAAGAGTGAGAGGAGAGAGGAGACTAATGACAAAGAGGAGGAGGAGGAGAGTGTCTCTCTGGCCCTGTGCCACCAAGATAAATACCTGGGTGCTTGTTTGTTTATGTAGCGTGGCGTTTCTGCAGAGGTGTGGGGTCGGAGGCTGAATAAATAAACGTCAGATTTTCCTAAACCCTTTTTAACACGACCCCCGGTAAGACGAGCAGCCGCTTAATGGATGTTAATGGAGCTCCAGAGAAAGAGGAACGCTTTCACAAATTGAGCTTGTCTGGAGAAAATGACAATTAGCTTTTGTTTTCCACAAAGTTGAAATTGCACTAAATATCTGTAGGAGAATTGAAGAGTATCTTGTATCCAGGAACACGTTTGGCTGAATGTTTAAATCTATCAAGCACTACGATAATGTGAAGACAATTTTACCAGAATGGCCTCGTCAACATCTGGCAAATCTTCAAATGTAGTCAAGAATTGGAAATCTGGAAAAACTGAGAATTTTTTTAATGGAGCCTGAGCGTCAGCGCCCCCTGCAGCCACACGTGGAGATGAATTCTGTTGGGCTCTGTGTCCGAGCCATGACGTGCTTTTCAAGCAGACGAAATAGTCTATCGATGAGTTGAGCTCGAAATATTACCCATGATCCTTTGCTACGTAAACCAGAAGAGCTGCTGCTGTAACAAATCCACCAACCTCAGTTCAGAATTCTTCAAATTTTAAAAGTTTCCTGCTGAATATTGGAGACAAACTCTGTTTTTTTTAATAACTTTAACTCTTTTTAACTGATCTGCAGTTCAGCTTCACTCGTCAACTCGCTGGAGCAGATTCTGACAGCTGGAGCTGTGACTCTCGAAGCCTCCGTTAGACCTCTGAGTTGTTTTA